CTAAGGTCTATGTCATATCTTTTGTTTTCTTTTTCTATCTAAGGTCTATGTTATATCTTTTGTTTTCTTTTTCTATCTAAGGTCTATGTCATATCTTTTGTTTTCTTTTTCTCTTTAAGGATCTATGTAATATCTTTTGTTTTCTTTTTCTATCTAAGTCTATGTTATATCTTTTGTTTTTTCTTCTTCTATCTAAGGTCTATGTTATATCTTTTGTTTTCTTTTTTCTATCTAAGGTCTATGTTATATCTTTTGTTTCCTTTTTTCTATCTAAGGTCTATATTATCTCTTTTGTTTTCTTTTTCTATCTAATGTCTATATTATCTCTTGTTGTTTTCTTCTTCTATCTAAGGTCTATGTTATATCTTTTGTTTCCTTTTTCTATCTAAGGTCTATATTATCTCTTTTGTTTTCTTTTTCTATCTAAGGTCTATATTATCTCTTTTGTTTTCTTTTTCTATCTAAGGTCTATGTTATATCTTTTGTTTTCTTTTTCTATCTAAGGTCTATATTATCTCTTTTGTTTTCTTTTTCTATCTAAGGTCTATGTTATATCTTTTGTTTTCTTCTTCTATCTTAGATCTATGTTTTATCTTTTGTTTTCTTTTTCTATCTACAAAAGCGATAGATCAGATATCTAAACGCCCACGAACCTGCATATATCTTTTAAATAAGTAATGCTCTCAGCAGATACCGTTTCCAGCCTTTAATGTAGTACAATCATTATAAATATATGTCGGTGAAACAGAACACAAATCGGTCCCGGCATTATTAAACACAGACAGCCATACATTTTATAACTGGCAATGAACATGGCACGCAGTGATATGATGATACTCCAGGGACGCTTCGCGGAAACTGAAGGTGTATTTGGGTGTAGCAATTAACATGCACAGTAATACAAGACCTCGGTCCCTCTATTGTTAATTTATAAATTAACAGAGTGGCATACATGAATAAAAAAATAGCTTCAATGAGTTCTAATAACTACTTCTGAAAACAGTTTCTCGTGATGTCGAATTTCAACTTAGCAAAGTAATATCGGTTTTACAGTGTTTTGGCATATTATTATCCACAGCACGTCTTTGTGGCTATTTGTATTTTAAAGCGGCACCAGCACTGTCGATTCGATTCGAATTTCTGATAGCACAACTGAGAATTGAACGCAAGGGCGTAATATATACATTAAGACCCGTCAGACCGGGACGAATAAAAAGAGTGAAAGTTAGTTAGTGTTCTTATATGTAAATTTTTTTAATTTCTTCCAGAACGCTATTAGTTGGACATTGATTATCGTTATGCATACGCCCTCTTTTTTTCACATTTTACATATTGTGCCAAATGAATATATATATATATATATTCTTTTTATAAAATATGCATGGAATTTGAAAGGCTTTATATACAAGAACTTAAAAGCAGGGCTATTTTACATACATAACCTATAGGTACCCACAATTTATAAATAAAATAAAAATAGTGATTTGTCTATTTTTTTAAAAAAATAAACAGAATCACTGCTCATTCTAAATATACAGCTGGATTTTGCTAAAATTTCCCGCACAACCCCGCGGCATGCTTATTCTGGTATCATAAATCGAGCAATGTGAAATACAAACACGCCATTCCTTACAAAAAGCTGTTTTCGAGGATTACATTTGAAGCCACGTCGTCCACGCAATGATAAAGATAATAACTGAGGCGAGACACCTATATCGGGGAATTCGTATTAATTGGAAATTTCTAATTATGCGAGGATGGGTCTTACGTGCAATATTAATGAAATGAGAAATATCATGCTCGGATGTTGGTTAAAACTTTGGGAATTTTCATTTTAACAATATTCGTTTTTTGGATTACCAATGTGGACAGGCCTATGCATACATATACATGTACTGGGTGGTCACAATAAAAGGGATGGGCCGATATTTTCACTGGGGTGACTGACCTCTCGGGAAACAAACACATAACTGTATCGTTGTCTCGAAAACCCTAATAATACTGGGGTGACACGTTTTCATTTATAAATATTTATTCAACCAATGATATTGCCAGTTTTCTCAAACGTTCAATAAAAAAAATATCAAAAAATACTAGACTAGTATATTTACACATACAAATAAAAACATTGGCATAGGCTGTACGCCATACTACACAGATAGTTTCTCACAACACAGAATTAATTTTCTAGCTAAATTTGGAATTGTAATAAGAGACAGCACAGAATAGTATAGTATATTAAAACGTAAGTGCACATTAAAATGTGCAAGTACATATATAACGAACAGTCAACAAACTGGAACGAACCGGAGCTTACTGAATACGACTTAAATATTCCCTGGTTTTATTTTAATTTGTTCAGCAGACAATTAAATGCGCCAAATAAAAAAAAAAAAAGTCATATGCAAAGATAACCTAAGCATGTATTTTTTCCTTAAAAAAAACAATGAATATTTCTGAAAAATCAAATCCGCTAATTTTAGAAATTAAACACAGTGAATATTTTTTTTTACTTATAGTGTAGCTATTTATTGCAGTTATTATAAGTGTTTATTAATGTCACAGTGTTATATTTCACTGGTATCAAACTGAAGGTATGCTCTCCCCACATATTACGCACTGAAACGGTAAAGGAGAATAAAAGAAAGAATGTTCCCAAGTGTCGGTGCATTTGATATAATTAACATCAGCCCAGAATATTGAAAACAGGTTGCGCATTGGTTTGTGAAGTGTTT